CAAAGAACCAGCTTTTGGTCTTGTTAACTCTTTCAATTGTTTTTCTATTCTCTATTTCATTTAATTCTGCTCTAATTCTTATTATTTCCTTTCTTCTGGTGCCTGAGGGCTTTTTATGCTGCTCTCTTTCTGCTTGTTCCAGTGGTAGGGTTAATATTTTGATTATGGCCCTTTCTTCTTTTTGGATATGTGCATTTATTGCTATAAACTGATCTCTGGGCAGTGCTTTTGCTGTGTCCCAGAGGTTCTGGTAGGGTGTGTTTTCATTCTCATTTGATTCTATGAATTTCTTTATTCCATCCTTACGTTCTTCTATGTGAGTGGCTTCTTTAGCTTAGTATAATGTTTCTGACATTCGTCTGCGCTGTTTGCCCAGCGTGGGCAGTGAGTGGGCAATGCCCCACCAGGCTCTGAGCTGAGTGCCTCGCTGGACCCCACCCAGCCCGAACCTGCCACCTGTGGAGTGAAGCAGACGTGCAGTATGGCGCTGAGCATCCTTGCATGGAAGCTGTGTGCCTGCTGGCTTGGGACTCAGCAAACCATTGCGGTACTGTGGCCAAGGAGCTGCTGGCCTGATCTGCCTGGGATGCCATGAAAGCACCATGTTAGGGACCACCTTTTAAAGACCTCGTCAGCTTGCTCAGAAGAGAACTTGGCAGTTTGGTGCCCAAAGGGACGGCGAACACGGTCTGAGGTGTGCTCAGCTGGGAGGAGCGTCCCAACTGCTGAGGCAGTGTCCATGCCCCAGGGCTGGAGGCGGGAGAGCCATAGAGAAGCATGTGAATAAATAGGATGTGACGTGGACTGGTGGGTGCCGGATGTGTGGGAATGCTGCTGGAGCGGGCACTTTTCGGAACTGGGAGAAGCCAGGAGAGGCTCACAGCCCGTGCCTGCTCACCCTACTCTCCCCGCTGGCCCATGACCTTTGCCCGTAGGAGGAGTGCTTGTTTGATCTTTGTCTTGTCGAGGAGGAGATGAACTTTTATTACCCATCTTTTCTGCTTTCCTAGGAGATGTTGATCACATTAAAGGAAGCGTTACCTGAAAACATTTGGTTAACTGATGTTAGATATGAACCATACCTAACTCTTCCTACTTATGTACAAATTCGACTTAAATTTAGACTTAGGAACAGAACTCATTTATAATCCAGGGACTGCCTATACAATGAAGTTAGAATAATCTTTTTCCTCTGGGTCATTTGGTGTAGAATATAGTAGATGTTCAGTGAATATTTATAAAGTGAACATATATTAAATATCTAAATTCAAGATATTTGCCTTGTCTGCTTTCAGAGAACTGCACTGATCACTAGATGTGGTTTTGGGTGAACTTTCTTATAATAACTTAAAAATTGCTCTGGAGCTATTAATTATTATAATGAGTTTGAAGGCTCTTTGGAAATGAATAAATTATGATAATGTAAGAAAATTTTCCTTTAGGCTTAGAGGTGACCATAATTAGCATAAATGAGGTATC